TTTGTCTGTTTCCTTTGGGATGGCTGACATTGGCTGATGCAGCCAGGCACACTGATTTATCAGAATTCCTTAAGACAGGGAGCCGGATTCCATAGTGAACTCACAGAGACCCCATTCCCAGAGCATCTGTCTTGTTTGTTTGCCTGTAGCAAGTGCTGACTGGTAGAAACAAATCTCTTAGGACAAAGGCAGCCGCAAGCCGTTTACCATTTTTTAAGTCCCCGCAGTATCACTGAAAAGCTTCCAAGTATTTTCTGTATTTGGGTTTGTGGTGGTTGCTTTTGATACTACTGTGACTACATAGAAGAAATAGTTTTGTGAACACAATGAAACTATGAGCACCTCTCAAGTGCAGCCTGGTATCAAATAAAATGAAACTGTTAGCTTCAGTCGTAGACCTGACCCACAGAATAGAAAGGTGCAGCCTGTTTCCAGGTGCTGGTCTGTCTTGAGCCTTGATTATTCCCAGTGAGTCCCCAGAAACTGCTGTGGTCAGTGCAGCTCCCAGGCAAGGGATGCCTCGACTACTTTCCTAGTTTTCACTATAAGCCAGGGATTCCCTAGTGTCTGTAAAGTAACCGTAGATGTATAAATTGTCTGGCTGTCTTCACTCCCTGTAAGAGTTCTCTATGCTACACAGATAGCTTCTACCCAGCTGGAAGCTTCTGCTAGCCTCTCTTACTTCAGTTTGGAAATAAAAACATCTGTGAATTGAAAAAGAAAAAAAATTTTCACATCTTTCACTACTCCTGCTCCTCCTAGAAACTGCTAATTAATTGAGGGCAGGGGAATTATTTGTAAGATGTTCAGACAATTTAACCTCCACACTGGGTTGGTTTTGAGAGTGAAGGGGGCAGCAGATGACCCTGAGACCAACCAGACCATGTGATGGTTTTGGTTATTCGGGAAGCTTTTGTTTTTGTATTTCCTGGTTTCTTGACACATTAACTGTGGTTGTTACCTAAATTTTGTGCTTAGTCTAGAAGTGGCAGGGTCTGTGGGGATCATGAGTCCTTTCTGGAAGCTTTGGAAATAAATGCCTGAGGCAGAATATGTTGCTGCTTTGTTACAGAGACTTATCTTTCAGTCTCACATAGAGGTGGGATCTCTGAAAATCAGTCTTACATTTATGTCTGTTCTTGGTGACCTGCATTTAGAAGTAGCCAAACTGACTTCTTAACTTAGGGCCAGTCCTTCCCCTCTGTGAGACATAGCCTCAGGTCCCTTCTCTGTTAAAACTTTGGAACATTTTAATGATCCAAGGTGTGTCCCACTGAACCACACAGCTATAAAATTTCAGAAATGAGAACATAGCTGTTGAAAACCTATTTGTCCGAGATGTATACTAAATACACACAACCTAACTGCAATGGCTGAAGGCACACAGAAGCACTTGATCCTGAGGGCTGATTGTGTTTAGAAACCTAAGGGATGTGTTAGGCCAAAGGACAGCATGAAGCGAATGACCCAGCCATGAAGGAATAAGATGGTAGTTGGCAGGAAAAGACCAAGATGGAGTTGTCTGGAACGGAGAACTACATTTTTCCTCTTTGTACTTGACTCGACTGCCATGGGATAAGAGTGGCAGTTTTCAGACTACGTTCATAGCCTTGTACACAACTCAGGACTTTTCAGGGACATAGTACCACAGGTCGCTGATTTCCTCTGAACTGATGCCAATAGCAAGGCGTGCGGAACAGGACTTTGAAGTGCGCTGTATCCGTCATGTGTTATGTGCATGTGTGCTAAGCTGCTTCAGTCCTGTCTGACTCTTTGTGACCCTGTGGACTATAGCCCTCCCGGCTTCTCTGTCCATGGGGCTTTCTCCAGGTGAGCAAGCTGGAAAGGGTTGCCATGCCCTCCTCCAATGAATCTTACCCACCGAGGGATTGAACCCGTGGCTACTGCATTACAGGTGGATTCTTTACCGCTAAGCCATCAGGGAAGCCCATGTGCTGTTCATTTCAGTCACTCAGTCGTGTCTAACTCTTTGTGATCCATGGAATGCTGCACACCAGGCCTCCCTGTCCATCACCAACACCCGAAGCTTGCTCAAATGCATGTCCATTGAGTCGGTGATGCCATCCAACCATCTCATCCTCTGTCATCCACTTCTCCTCCTGCCTTTAATCTTTCTCAGGATAAGGGTCTTTTCCAATGAGTCAGTTCTTCACATCAAGTGACCAAAGTATTGGAGTTTCAACTTTAGCATCAGTCCTTCCAATGAATATTCAGGACTGATTTCCTTTAGAATTGACTGGTTTCGTCGCCTTGCAGTAAAAGGGACGCTCAAGAATCTTCTCCAACACCACAGTTCAAAAGCATCAGTTCTTTGGTGCTCAGCTTTCTTTATGGTCCAGCTCTTACATCCATACATGACTACTTGAAATACGATAGCTTTGACTAGACAGACTTTTGTTGGCAAAGTAATGTCTCTGCTTTTGAATATGCTATCTACGTTGGTCATAGCTTTTCTTCCAAGGAGCAAGCATCTTTTAATTTCATAGCTGTAGTCACCATCTGCAGTGATTTTGGAGCCCAAAAAAATAAAGTCTGACACTGTTTGCAATGTTTCCCCATTTATCATGAAGTGATGGGAACAGATGCCATGATCTTGGTTTTCTGAATGTTGAGCTTAAACAACTTTTTAAGTATTCTTTCACTTTCATCAAGAGGCTCTTTAGTTCTTCTTTGCTTTCTGCCATAAGGGTGGTGTCATCTATATATCTGAGGCTATTGTTATTTCTCCCAGCAATCTTGATTCCAGCTTGTGCTTCCTCCAGCCCAGTGTTTCTCATGATGTACTCTGCATATAAGTTAAATAAGCAGAGTGACAATATACAGCCTTGACTTAATCCTTTTCTTCTTTGGAACCAGTCTGTTGTTCCATGTCCAGTTCTAACTGTTGCTTCCTGACCTGTATACAGATTTCTCAGGAGGTAGGTTAGGGAGTCTGGTATTCCCAACTCTAAGAACTTTCCATAGTTTATTGTGATCCACACATTCAAAGGCTTTGGCATAGCCAATAAAGCAGAAGTAGGTGTTTTTCTGGAAATCTCTTGCTTTTTTGAAGGTCCAACGGATGTTGGCAATTTGATCTGTGGTTCCTCTGCATTTTCTAAATCCTGCTTGAACATCTGGAAGTTCACAGTTCATGTACTGTTGAAGCCTGAGTAGGAGGATTTTGAGCTCTAATTTGCGTGTGAGATGAGTGCAATTGTTCCGTAGTTTGAGCATTCTTTGGGATT